CTTCTCAATAATTATTATATTTCTAAACCTATTAAAATGAAACCGACTAGTACTACTACATTTTCTGTGCTCATGCTCACGCTACCATCAACACGTGAAACAAAATCGCTCTCATTACTAAAAGTACTGTTACGTGGTGAATGTTACGCGCCATGCAGTGGTGGGTTATAAGACTTATTAATTTCGTAAAAAAACAGTGGCTACTGGCTATTATTTGATATACGTGTCAAACTAAAAAAAACAAGATAAAATTTGAAAATTTCCATAATAAGGATTTATCACTCTTCTATAGAACATTTGGATCAGGAAAAATAGAGAGGAGGAGAAGAAAATATTTTTTAATTAATTAAATTATAATATTTTTTTAAACATACAGTTAAGGACTAGTTAGTTATTTATAAAATGTTAATCTTATTTTAACATATTACTCCCTTCACTTATTTTTTTGTAGTTTTAATTTATTTTTTTGATGTTAAATATAAATTTAAAATAAAATTTTAATAATTTATATAAATAACAATTATTGTTTTTTATATGTAGTTTTGTTGAGTATTTTTATTTGATTGAAGAATTATGAATTATCATCTATATAATATGATAAACTTGTATTTAAAATTTATATTTAAAAAAATAAAAAAATTAAATTAAATCTACTAAAAGTAAACTAATGAAGTATAATTATATACTCATTTCATTAATGAGTTTTTGTCATTTCCTTCTCTAACTTACTAATGGGCAAAATGATATAAAGCATAAATTACATATGGGTTAAGAATCTTGAAAAAAAAAAGAAGTGATATTTAATTTATTAATTATTTAATTACATTTATTTATATGATAATGACATTAAACTTAATATTAATTTTTATATTTTTTATATAAATTTATAGTAAAAAATACCTTTAAAACATAGATTAGATAACCTTACATATTTTTTAAAAGGAATTGCCCAATGATGGGCAAAATAAATTAAAAAAAAAAAAGGGGTTAAATTTAGAGAGTCAAAAGTCAAAAGTGTGTTAAGAGGTGTTAAAATCACTTTTATAACCCTCTCCTTAAAATTGGGCTTAGGATAAAATATTGGGTTGCATTTATTCTACATATTTTTATTAATTTACATAAAAATTTGCATAAATAAATTTATTTTCAATACTAATACTAGGTAAATGATCATAATTGAATGCTTAATAAAATTAAAATTTATTTTTATATTTTTCATAAAAAAATGTAATAAATGCATTAGTAAAGTACATGTTAAAATTTTTTTAAAATATTTATGTGATTAGTTATAATTTTAAATTCTAAATATGCTAGCTAATTTTAGCTTCTCATAATTATATGTGCAATACATGTTATGTTAGTATATATATATATATATATATATTTTTTATGTTAGTTGCACAGTGGGAGGTAACTCTCTCTCATCATTTATCTCATTCCACGCACATATCATGCGACTCGAATTCAAAATCTCTTATTTCCAGTAAAAAGAAATTACCCTTGAGTTATTTAGATCGTTGACTGTATGTTAGTACTTAATTATAAAGAGAATAAGTTTTAAAAAGAGTGTTAGAGAGAGTGTTATTGCATTTTATATTTTAAAAATACAATAAAATAAAAATTTAAAATAATAAAGAGAAGGGCATTTTGACTTTTTACTTTTTAAATTAAAGTTGTGGTCACATTTCTTAAAATCAGATAAGGTGCAATGCATTATCCTTATGATTTGAGAAGTTAAATGCATCACACGCAAATTGCATAAGGGCACGAGTTATTTTCCCTTACTTTTTTTTTTTCTTAACGTTTATACTTTATTGAGTCATAAAATTACTTATATATGTATAAATTTTACATAAATTATTAATAATGATTCATAAACTTAATGGTTTAGATATATTATTATCACATATAGTAGCATTGTTTTAATATTTATATCTGTAGATATTATAATTTATATAAAGACAAACACATGTGTAATAATTGAATTCTAACCCAAGTGAATCCATCTATATATTTAAAAAATTAAAAAACAAACTTGATTACTAGGTTAGTAACAATTGGAAACTTGTGATTAAGGTTGTCAAAATCGAGATTTTGTTTAAAATTGTTTTGAATAAATAAAATTAGAATTGTAAAATTGAATCGATAAAATTGACAGTTTATTAAATTTAATAAATAAATAAATAATAAAAATTTATATTTTTATATTAATATAACTAAAATTTAATAATAAAAAATCAAATATAAGATTAAAGTTTACAATAACTAATAAAATTAAAATTTAATATTACAATATATGATAATACAAAAAATTAAAAATAATTTTTTTAAAAAAATATTATTTAAATTAAATGACGCTTAACTTTTTTATCCAAAAATTTATATATATATATATATATAAACACCCAATCCCATTATCCCACTAGTGTCAACACATAATCCCCACCAAAATTGATACCCCTCCATCCCCTCACCAGTTCACCTTCTTTGTTTCCTCCGCTATCATTTTCCCTCTTTTTTACCATTCTCCTCCATTCAAGCTCTCTTTCTCCTTATTTATTCCCTTTTTTTTTTTTTTTTTTTTACCCTTTTTGCAAAAGATTTTATCCTTCTTTACTTGAGCAGTGAGTAGTGGCAACTAACACTTATTGTGTAAGGTTGGCTCCAGATCATTTGGGTCACTACTTACCAAATAGATCCCCGTTCAGCTAGCAACTTCTTTGCTTGAACAACGAGCAGCGAGCAGCAAGAAATGGCACAAGCAGTGGCATGAACAACAACAGTGAGCAATGGCAGCGTAAAATCAAGATTTCAAACGATTTTATTATAAAATCACGATTTTATAATTTTATCTCTCCGATCTTATGAAAATCCAATCTTAAAATAGATTTTACTTTAAATACATATTTAAAATCATAAAATTAAATAATTTTACAATTTATAATACAATTTTGACAACATACTTGTGACCCAATTTGGTCAACCTCGTTTTACTTTATAAATTGAGGTTGCGTTTGAATCCAGTAGTACTGTGCAGTACGTGACCAAATTAAAGTGATTGAAGAAAATATGAGAAAAATGAGAGTGGTAAAAGTCTACAACAATAGGTAAACGGATCTAACAAAAGTGATCTTAGAATGTTTTGTACAATGTGACGTGAAAAATCGAAATGATATATTACTGTGAGATTTACTCTTTTTTTTTTTTTTTTTTT